TTTTTTTTTTTTTTTTTTAAAGATGACGGGAAAGGGGATCTTAACCCTTGACTTGGTGTTGTCAGCACCACGCTCAGCCAGTGAGCAAACCGGCCATCCCTATATGGGATCCGAACCCACAGCCTTGGTGTTATCAGCACCGCACTCTCCCGAGTGAGCCACAGGCCGGCCCAGAGTTTAACTATTAAAGCTTAAAATTCAAGGTTTATTTTTGTCCAGCGGAATGTCCTCTGCTTTACCAAGCATGACAGCTTAACACAAGGGTTGGCTGTTTTTTAGAGATCGACTTGAAATATCAAAGCTTAAAAATTCTTGCCTGTGTTGGTCGGACTCAGTAGTTCCCGCCTTATTAGATAACGATCAGCCCGACACACTGCGATCGTCCCCAGGTCAGCAGGCCCCGTGCGGGGTTGGAGCCCCGTGCGGGGTTGGAGCATTTCCACAGCTCGAAGGCTGCTCCCGAGGCCCTTGGACGGGTCCTAGAGCCACCCTGCGTGTCACCTCCAAGTGCCTGGTTTGATGCCCAGCTGTCGCTGGCTTGAAATTCTTAATAGTTTATCAAGAAGGAGCCCGCGTCTTCACTTTGTATGGCCCCTGCAAATTATGTAGCGGGTTCTGGTGGATGCCGCTCAGAACAGGCTTTTCCTCACCTGTCTTCCTCATTAACCCACAAGTGGAAACAACACAGATGTCCATACACTAAAGAAGGGATGCACAAAATGGGCCAACCACACAGTGGAAAATTACTCAGCCATAAAAAGGAATGAAGTTCTTGGGGCCGGCCTGGTGGTGCACTTGGTAGAGCGCGGCACTTGGGAGCGCGGTGGCGCTCCCGCCCGAGGGTTCGGATCCCATATAGAGACTGGTCTGCTCACTGGTTGAGCGCGGTGCGGGCGCGACACCGAGGGTTGCCATCCCGTTACTGGTCACGAAAAAAGACAAAAAGGAAAAAAAAAAAACAAAAAAAGGAATGAAGTTCTGACACACGCTGCAACATGGATGCATCTCGAAAATATGGTGCTGAGTGAAAGAAGCCAGACACAGGACAGATGTGTGATTCCATGCTGTGGCCCCAGAATTCATACGTGAAGCCCAAACCCCCAGTGCAACTACGTTTGGAGATGGGCCTTTAAGGAAGTAATTAAGGTTCATGAAGTCATCAGGGTGGGCTCCTAATCTGATGGGATTAGTGTCCCCATAAGAAGATACACCAGTGAGCTCTCTCTTGCCCTGGACTCTTCTCTTCCCACCACATGAGGTCGCGGCGAAGAGGTGCTGTTCGCAAGCCAGGGAGAAAGTCCTCATGCTGGCTCCCAGATCTCCAGACCTGTGAGAAAATAAATGTCTGCTAAGGCACAACATCTATGGTATTTTGTCACAGCACCCAAGTTGACCAATACGTTCCATTTATGTGAAATATCCAGAATAGGCAAATTCACAGAATCAAAAAGTAGATTAGGGGCCGGCCCTGTGGCGCACTCAGGAGAGTGTGGGTTCTTTATTGACCTTATAGCATGCAAGATCTAAATGGGGGTTATTTCACATTGCTTAATTTATTTATTTAAGATTACACCAGTTTAAGTTAACCTAATTACTATTATAATGTATTGCTGGTAATTAACATGAAGTATAAGAGCAATCTACCACAAACTATCCTACACTAAGTTGTCATTACTAACTACAAACAAATTAGCCTAATTTTGCTGCCTATTTTTCTTGCCACATATTTTGTTCTCCTCTTTACCCAGTGAATTTATCAGGTCAAACACATAGTGTCAATTCTAATTTTTAAATCAACTTCTTAAAAATTCATTGTAAGGGCGGCCCCGTGGCGCACTCAGGAGAGTGCGGTGCTGGGAGCGCAGTGACGCTCCCGCCGTGGGTTCAGATCCTATATAGGAATGACTGGTGCACTCACTGGCTGAGCGCGGTGCGGGTGACATCACACCAAGGGTTGTGATCCCCTTACTGGTCACGAAAAAGACAAAAAAAAAAAAAAAAAGTAGATTAGTGGTTGCCAGGGGCTGGGGGTGAGAGGAATGGAGAGTGACTGCTTCATGGGTGCAGGGTTTCTTTTACGCATGATGAGAATGTTCTGGAATTAGGTGATGGTCACACAACTTTGTGAATATACTAAAAACCACTGAACCGTACACTAAAAGGGTGAAACTTATGGTATGTGAATTATATCTTAATAAAGCTATTATTAAAAAAATAAATGAAGGAAGGGAGGCAGGAGAGGAGTGTAGGTGCAGGGTAGGAGCTGAGAGGAGGTGGGGGGAGGAGAGAGAGAAAGGGCTAGGAGAGGTCGGGGGAAGGGTGAGGGGGACAAGTCTGCCTCCTAAATGAATCTTGAGCTATCCCTCTTTTCCCCATGGCCCCTGCTCCTGGTTCCAGCGACCATCACCACCTGCATTAAGGATTAATGCCACAACTCCCCACCCTGTCCCAGGCGCCCGAGAGCCCCCTTTCTAAATCTCAGGTTGGTTTCAGCCTCCTCACTCCAGTTTGAGATCCCTCCAGTAGCTCCTTCTGACTCCTGGATGCAAGCAGACTTCCGAGCGCAATGTACCATGCTCCTCATAAGTGGGCCCTGCCAGCCTGTTCCTACCTTGCCCTGCACTTGCTCCACATTTCTCCCCCAGGGATTTGCACAGGCTCCCACCTTTCTCTTTTGCCTGGTGCGCATTAAATCATTCTTCAGGTCTCACCACGGATGCACCTCCTCCCAGAAGCCATCCTGACATCCAGTGACTGAGGTTAGGTTTGGTGCCACCTGTGTGTGTCCACAGTTCCTGTACATGCCCAGTCAGGGCATGTCTTGCCACCTGGCTGTGAGGTCCTGAAAGATCAGGCCCTGAGCTGCTAATCACGTGTTGGCAGCATCTAGAGTGTGTATGTATGGGCATGGGGGTGAGGACATTTAGACAGAGTGGGATTAGGACCCAGGTCTCTCAATCTGAATACCATGGGCTTAACCCACTGAGCTTTGGGCCAGAGGCCCTGAGTGCGAGGATGCCAAAAGCCTCCCCCAAACCTTCTGCTTAAAACTCCAGAGCAGTTTTCCTGCTCTACAAAATGGGCTATTCACACCTGCTGCCTCCTTCCAGAAAGGAATGAAGGGACAACAAGGTAACAGAAAAGTCCATTCAATATTTATGAAACTCTTCACAACTTCTTTAGAAAACAATGTGGCATTACTGAGAAGTGCCCTGTGACCAGCAATTCCACCCTAGACAGGCATTCTCAAAGTGGAACCCTGGACCAGCAGCCTCTGGGGATTCATTAGGAATGCAGATTCCTGGGCCCCGCCCCAGAACTGCCGCACCAGAAACTCTGGGAGTGGGGCACG